CTTCCTTGAACTGCCTATTTCTATTACCTTTTCAGTCCCAACGCATCATGTTAACAAAAGAACAATTGGAGAGCTTTCGTAGAGGGAAGTCTACGAGCATAAATCCCATATATGAATTCAGCCAAGAAGTACAACTATTACCGTATGAAGACCATTGGGAATTCTCAACAGACAGACTAAAATTAGGTTAAACTTCATTATATTTCTATTTTAGGTTTCTGAAGAACGAATTTGATTATATTTCTAACCTCCATAGATAAAGAGATTGGTCGAGGGGAATTCGGTCATGTTGTTCGGGCTGTGGCAATTGGGATTCGCCCCCCGGAGCGTGAAACAACCGTAGCTGTCAAGAAAAGGAAGCCTGGCTGCAACAACTTGGAGAATTACCTGGCACTGATGATGGAGCTAAAGATTATGAGTCACCTTGGCAATCACATGAATGTCGTCAATCTCCTTGGAGCCTGCACAAAAAACATGGCACGAGGTCGCTTCCTTTGTTCCTGTTTATGCATGTTGTACGGCAACGAAAAATGTAAATCTACTCGTGTGAGATTTCATGCCCAGGGAGTTCTTTCATTTTAAATGATGTGCAGATTGCTGCTGCACCGAGAGGTCCCTAGCTTGCAAAAAATATTTTGTTAACCCTTATCCAGGCAAGGTAAAATATCAATGCAAATGTAACCAGGCAAGGGGGGTTCATTGGACTCCCTATTACTATAAGTATTTAGTGGGGGTAAACAGAAGGCAAAAACATGCATGCCCCAAAGCAACGTCTCTATATTATTGATTCCAGTTTATTTAAAAATTAATGCGACATAATTTCCATCCTACATTTTTCCTTAATCTGAGGTAAAATTTGGATGGTAAAACAAAAGTATAAAAATAGGAAAATTTCCTATTTTTCCCCCTTCTTCACTGCCTGAATTCCACCGTTACCGAATTTCATTGATATTTTACCGCATTATTACCTGTAATGGACCTCAGGTTCTGAGTTCCTCTCTTTCTCACTCGTGTATTTTTAAACCGTGTTTTACAAATACTAAAAACGACAGGAAAATGTCTGCAATTGTTTGAATGCTGTTTAGAAACTATGAGACCTGGGGGTCCAACGTACCCCCTTGCCCGTATAAGGGTCACAACATGTCAATAGTCTAGGTGCAAAGCTCCTAAAGTCCCATTTGAAGGGTGAGGACGGAATCTTAAATTGGCGTTTATAACAAGTGCAACTTTAAAATTACTCAAGGCAGAAAGGTGCTAAATTGCTCAAATCAAAGCGTGAGGCTGGGCAATCATAGCTTATTCAAAAATAATTTTTTGCTGAATCAGGAAAATGTTCCACTTATCTTAAGTTGTGAAAGATTTGCACAATTGTACCTTTAAAATTTTGCTAGAGTTGCAAATCCAAACTCATAGTTTAGTTCTTCATCTATGAGGGTTATCCACAAAATTTAAAAGCCTAGTTTTTTATATACTGTATTTGAAGAATCTGCTTCATGATTTCAAAGTTTTGATTTTTCTCATCTATACACTGTACTAGCAAATTAGTTTGCCATTCGTATAAACAAACTGGCTAAGATAGAGCCTTTGGTGATCCATTGTCCAGGTTAGTGATTCGTTTATTTATTTATTTTTAAAGGGGCAAAAACGAATTAAAAGTATGTGCATGTTGGAATGTGGGTCAATAGAGAACAAACCGATATTTTCATCAAATTAATTGCTCGATTATTTTTTGAGTGCCTAACTTCAAATCTCTTCACAATCTGCCCTGAAGGGTCAAATTTATGGGTAAATGCCCAATATACTCATATTGAGTATATTGGGCTCACTCATATTAAGTGAAGCCCAATAAAAAAATGAGTTTGAGTTTTCAAAGCCCTTGGATTCCCTTCGTGGATCCTTTCGTGAAGAGGGACTGCTTATTTCCTCTTTCAATAACCCAAATCATCTTCGTCCCGAAAATAACCTAGAGTTATATGCAGGAGATCTCATGATCATATTGGAGCATTGCCCGTATGGAAGTCTGGAGTCGTATCTGAGGAAGCATCAAGGCTACTTTACACATGATGATGCCCCTGCCTATGCAAATATACCAATCAGTATTGTGAATCCCGAGATTATCACTGACCTGGCGCCTCTCGATGGTGCTCTGTTTAGAACTAAGGAAAATCCACACCATGGGTTAGTCCCAACTGTCAATTTCTATCCTCTGGTGTTAAAAAATTCCCAGCTCAATAGAACGTTCTTTCCAAAAACAGCGCAGCAAACCTCAACTATGCCGAGATTTCTTGGTGTTCTAGTAATGAAGAATTTTGCAATGGACTACATCTCCAAGGTACGTTTCCCATGATGTATCCAATGGTCTGTGGCGTTAGTACATCTGAATTGTAATATGAATCAATCCACATCTACATAATCACTGCGTTATACGAGGTCTGATAATAAAGTTCCAGGACTGTTTTTTGTGAGTCCGTCAATACCATACAAATTATTTTCATTACATTGACGGATAGATTTGACTGTTGGGCAATGTCGTATCAGTCCTCATTTAACCAGCATCTTGAATGAGAGTTTGGCTGGCAATGTAGCAACTCAGTGTGTCATCCGTCATATTCCCAGAGTGAAACAATATTTCATCACATTTAGTCTCAAACCGTTCAATATAGCTGCTGAAGTAATCCATCAAATGTTGCAGAAATGCATTGAAAGGTTCCTTGACATGCTCCAATAATTTTGAATGATCTTTATGGCCGTTAGCAAGTAGTGAAGACACTCAGATCCTCCTCAAACCCAATCATCACCAACCATTCACCCAAGGGATGGCTGAACCAGTCATTATTTTCAATATCATTTCTACAGACTGAAAGCCTTGAAAACTATTCAAGATTCTTTGAGTATCACAATGCAACATGTCAAGACACTTCTTGCAACATTTGATGAATCGCTGCAGCTAAATTCCCCGAATTGAGACAAAAAATGTGAAGCATTGCTTCCCTCTGGGAATATGATAGACGCCTTACGCACTGAGTTGCTAAATTGCCGGCCAAACTCTCTTTCAAGATGCGAGTTAGGTGAGGACTGATACGACACTGCGCTTCAGTCTAATCTAGTCAATGGAATGAAAGTTATTTTTGTAATATTGACAGGCATACAAAACATCAGTCCCGGGACTTTATTGCGAGACCTCTTTTATCCCATTGCATTGATGTGCCGCCAGCTGAACTCGTGAGTATCTGTAAACGATGCACGCTTAGTCTAGGTTGACCCAGAATTCATGAATGTCTTCCACGGGTTGGGGTCTCCGTCTCGCTCAAAGGAGAGCAGATTTTTCCAGTCTTCGCGACTGCTGGATTTGTCCTCAAGAACTGAAGAAAGAATGGCTGCCGCATAGAGTGATGACTGAACTCGTGGATTCCCGACTATGTTCATTACTGTAGAGAGGGAGAGGGGAAGGGCATGCCGGATGATATACGTATTATTGTTTAACAGTGTAGCGTTCGTTAGCAATGAAGTATAGACTGAGTGCGGTTTAAACGGAGGAAGGGTGAACAAGTGGAAAGGGGCCCTGACGTGAATATTGCCGAGGCCTCACAATAAAATTTGGCGACCCTGAAAACGCTGCGCGCTTAGCTTAGACTAGAAATGTCAAACTTGATTAAGCTGAGAGCCGGGAGAAACTCTTCAGGAGTGATTGGGTCCACATTAGCGAATCTTACCCGAACGTTTGAATTGCTAATAACTTGAAAAAGTCAACGTTTTTCCGAAACCAACTATTGAATGGGACATTGCAAGCCTGATGAAATCAAGTAGTGGGCCGGCAGTTTGACACCTCTAGTCTTGACCGACCCGAAGAGGGCCGTTGAATTTTAGGGCTGCTGACTGAGCTCGGGCGTTCCCGAGAAACAGTTCGTGGAAGATTTCCCGCGAGTTGGAGTGCCTGGCTCACGCTCTTCAGCTCGCACGTTCTCTCCGGCGTTTGCGACTGTCGGATCCGTTCTTGAGAATGTGAGTGTCAGTCATTGTACGCCTTGCGCAACTCCCCCTCCCCCACCTCTATGGGATGTTCACACCTCGACATGAATTTTTAGGCGATGAAAACCATGCACAACACTTGGGAGTCCCGTGTTCCTCCGCGCGAAAGAGAGTAACTCCAGATTGTGGCAACGGAGGGATCCCATCTGGATGGGATAGAACAGAAAGGCTTATCCTTGGATTGCAAAGATGCCGCCTGTCGTGTCGTAACCACCCCGTTTCCGTATTCGTATATTTCACTAAAGGGCTAGCATGAAAAGTGATGTAGATGGACTTTACGTACGAAGCAGACAGGGTTGGGATCGATAGGAAAAGAGGCGATTAAAGGATCGGGATTTCGATAAATGTGAGGGCAAATATCTCACCCCGGCGAGGAAATCATCCTTCCTTCGGCGGGATGAAGGGGGACTCCAAGGATTATGCGTAAGACGTGGACAAATTAGGAAAGAGGGTCTGCTGCACGTAGCGATGAGAGGGCCACTGAGTTTTTGGGCCGCGAATGAACCGGGGAGTTCTTGGCCAATAGTTCGTGGAAGTTTCCACGGGTCGGCTATTTCTAATATAATTTCTAATGATTTTCTGAAAACATAGAATGGAATGTTTGCCTACACATAATGCTCACGATAATAAAAAAACATTACCACTGGATTGACCTGGTCTATTATCCCATTCCAGACCAGTTAATTTTGCACTACGAGGGCCCAGAAAACTGACTATTTTTCAGAATTTTTTTTTAAAAAGCATGCTGGAAGTATGATGATATTGGGTATTTTTTGTCTGTTGAAATGAATTCATCCCGTTTTAATGATTAAATCCATATATAAACTTCTAGGTAAATTGTAAGAAATAAGTTTGAAAAAAAAACTTCACCTAAATCCATTATTTGAAGGAAACAGAGTCAGATTACGGGAATAATGCTACATTCTACATATTATCAAGGAAATAAGAGCAAAAAGCAACACAACATTCTGTACGAAATAACTTTAAAAAACGCCTCAAGAAACTATGATGTTAGAACGCCATGAATCAGCTGAGCTAGGATTTGAAAACAACTGGTATTCGGCAAACTAAATTGTATCAAGCAGAAAAAGAAAATATCCGAATTTACTACCACAGCACTCCATATTAAATATTAAATTTTGAGGAATATTCCTGTGCAGACCTCACTCGTCTAGAGCCTGTCATCAAGAATAATGTTGGGAAATGTGAGAGCCCAGCCATAGCATGAGCGCTGTCTCGAATATGTTAAGAAAAGGGATTTAAAATGTGGTCTTTAGTGAGTCTTCATGAATTACAATGAAAGTCTCTTTTTGCCCACACAATTTCCTCATTTTCATGATTTCTGAAAAATTATATTGCAGGAGAATCGGATATTCCCAGTGTCGTTCCATCGACAGAGAGGCACAAGCGTGGTTCCTTCCAATGCGACAGCATTATTGCAAAACCATTGACGACTTATGACCTGATATCATTCGCCTATCAGATCGTTCAAGGAATGGCATACTTGGCCTCTCGACAGGCATGTCATGCGTGAACCAATATCTTAATCGCTGACATTACTTCATAGATGCAAATCGTTCATATTTTCTTCCAGGTCGTCCATCGGGATTTGGCTCTAAGAAATGTGCTTTTGGCTGAAGACAACGTTGTGAAAATATGTGACTTTGGTCTTGCCAGGAACATACAACCGGGGAATCATTATATCATGAGAAGACATGCCAGTTTTATATTTATTCTTCAATGTTTTCTTCTGGTAAGACTTGAAGCTTAACACCTCTATTTTCTTCAGGTTCCAATTGCATACAGATGGATGGCTCCAGAGTGCCTGACCTATGATGGGATGTATACGAGCCAGTCAGATGTTTGGGCATTTGGAGTCACGCTGTGGGAGATATTCACCCTTGGGATGACTCCATATCAAGGCATGAAAGTACATGAGCTCGTCCAGAATCTGCAGAAAGGATATCGTTTGGAGTGTCCTGTTTATGCCAATCATCGCATGTGAGTATCCTGAGTGTCTTGACTCTACTCATGCCTTATTGGAGGGTAACAAGGAAAGGTTATATCAGCTGATGTAACGTTCTATTGTTCGATTTTGATCTCGACTAAAACAATAATAAAGTATGGAACTCTTCACTTATAGTGTAGGCATTCATCACTTGCATGACAATGGAACTGTAGATTTGCCCGAAAATGGAATGGGCATGTTGTGGGAAAATTAAATAATTTATGTTGTTGGGGGGAAGAGCAAATAAGTTATCATAAAGCATCATTACAATACTTAGCATTTTTACCGTCGTGTCAATCTCTTTTCTTGACTGACATGGCATTCCAGAATGATGCGGCACAAGATTGTTTCGGTTGCAATTTTTTAAAACTTTTATTTACTTTTTCCTGTAATGAGCAGATCATTCATTTTCATATTATCCGCAGCATATACGTCTCTTTAAAGTTGTTCATGGACGTGCACACAATTTTTTTCGTGAATGTTTCCTTCTGAAATTTATGTTGCTATTGCATCTAGAATCATTCAAGAGAGGAAGTGCTATGGCTGTACAATGATGGATTCTCACCCTGAAAACTAAGAGCAATTCATGAATGTGCCATTATATGCTAGCAGGACACATAATGAAAGCTTCATGTTTGCATTCTTCGACTTTTACAGCCACGAAATCATGCTTCAGTGTTGGGAAGCAGACCCTAACAATCGGCCAACGTTTCCTGAATTGAGTCTCCGGTTGAGTGATATGCTTTCAGATTATGAACGATCGGTGAGTTTTTTTTTTAATTCAAATATTCGGTGACAAGCATGTAAGGCGTTTCAAGGTAATTTAGTGACATCCTTCATGAAATAAGTCAAAATGGGAGTAGTTACGCGCCATTTAACCATAAGTATTACTTTCCTCGGAACCAAATACATTTAATCACTGTTACTGATGCAGTTTACAGCTGCGAGTTCTAGTCAATTTATTTTTCAAAATGCAGAACAACGAAGTCAATTACGAGGGTTATTTACAAGTTTCTGGGAATTTTGTTCCATCACCGCAACGGGTGATCAAAGCCTACCGCAAAGTTGGTCACGCATTCTTAGGTATTTCATAAAACACGATTGCAAAATATTATGCACTCGGCATGCGTCAGTAAGAAGTTGTCAGCGTTCGCGCAAGGTATACTTCGTCAGGAATAGAAGACGTGGTAAATTTTCAAAGAACTATTATTTTCTTTTGATGGAAGGAAGGAGTTAGGACGTCTGCAATTAATCAACGGCTGGTATCTGTTTTTGGTGAATATTTTGAAACTAAAAGTACCGTTTTTCGTTGGATTGATTGCTTTAAAATTGGAAGAACGAGCCTTGAAGATGACCAAAGTGTCGACCAAACACTGCAGCTAAGGAAGAAAATGTCCTCGCTGTGGAGAAAAATATAATGGAAGACGGATGAATCCCCTTTCGCGAGATTTCAAGTGTATGCATCCAGTTCCAGAAAAGTTCATGAAATTTTATATGACCGTCTCGGAGTGAGCAACGTTCCTGTAAGAGGAGTATTGTTCCTGCTGCGGCCAGAACAGAAACTCAATCGTGTGGAGGTTTGTTCCGAGTTATTGACGCTACAGGGAACAATAAGGGGATAGTTTCTGGCAATGAATCATCACAACAAATGAGACCTGGATACCTTACTTTAATCCACAAATAAAAATTCAGTCGATGGCAAAGACCTTCTGATGGCCCTCTACTTAAAGCACGGACCATCAGTTGGTAAGGTTATGATAACGGTGTTTTGAGATTGCCAGGGGATAATGGGAATAATCATGATTGATAATCTAAAAAAATGTTCCACAATAAATGCTTAATATTGCTCTTATTTCATGCCATTCCCGACAATTACTGCAGCAAGACAATGCGAGGCCGCACACTGCTCGTCTTACGAAGGCCGTTTTGGGGGTTCTGCGCTGGGAATTGTTGTCACACTCGTCCTATTCTCCAGACCTGGCGCCCAGCGACTATAATCTATTTGGGGACATGAAGAAACCTCTTCGAGGAATCCATTTTGAGTCTCTATTTGAAGTTGAAGGAGTGATAAATGAGTGGAGAGAACGTATTACACAAAAGTTCTTTGAAGGTGGACTGAAAAAAAATAGTTACTCGCTGGCACAAATGTATACAGCTAAATGGTGACTATATTGAAAAATTTCACTGTAATATCGAAGGAAATTAACCAATTAAAAAATGAGCACGCAAATTCCCAGAACTTTGTAAACACTCTTCATGCATGCAGTAACTCAAGTCAAGGATGTTCAACCTTTCACTCATCAAGTATGAGGTACCGTTCACATTTCAAAGGACGTCTGTCAACACGGTTCCTTTTCCTACTTGGTTCTTGCGAATCTTCGCCAAATTATCGTGATTTGGTTTCTTTGGAATTTTTTTGCAAGATATCTCAGAGACCGAACAGAAACATGGACAGTCGTTCAGGAGTCGATATATCCAAATATGAGCGATGCGATCGGTGCATTCCCGCCTTTTTATTTTGTCATTCGGCAATTTACTTGTTTCCAGTCATGCATAAGACTAAGCTTAAGACTATGGAAAGACTAACCTTAGCAAGCCGTGAATCTTATTTTCGAATTATGTCATGCAATTATTTTCCCTTATAAGTATTTCCTACCTACCTACTTCAGAAAGTCATACTCCCATATGGAAAACCCTCACTTAGAGGCCAGTAGCATATAACATTAAAACAACATTGATTCAATGTTGATTCATCATCTTGACGTTGAAACAACGTTGAATTAATGTTGTTTCATGAGAAGATAAAGTGAGCGTTCAGCTAAAGAGCCTTTTTTCTCGTCCTTCTCGGTCCTTAAAGGACCGTTATCAAAAGATGTATGCAATCTGGCTTTGATCTTTTCTTTAAGACCAACATATCTTCCTGTCAGTCCCCGTATCGGATTCTTATCTGAAATATATTATTGCAGCGGTGTGAAGAACTTACTCGGCCATTCCTTGAAACCAGCGGCACGCATTGCCAGACAAGGACAAAGTACACGCAGTTGTCGTTTCCTCAAGTTCCTGAAAAGGAACACCATACAGTGCAGGGGAGTGAGGATCCTCCCTCCCAAAGGCAAGAGCCTGTCTCCATGCAGGAAAACGTTCTTGGGATGAGGTGCACAAACTATGCGGATGTAAAAAATAACGACACTGTTTCAAAAGTAGAAACTGAATTGGTTCGCATGTCCATGAAGAGAGAGGAAAGTAGCCTTCCTTGTGAAACGGAAATTTCAATATGACGATACCAAAGTGGGTGATCAATTACATGAATCTGAAAATCATGGTGCGCTCAAAACTACGCTGGTCAACATTTGAAGTGGATCACTATTATTATCCTTATTTACTTATCTTCCATGTAAGCTATGAGTCTAACTCCTATTGAAATATTAGCCCGATCTTCTTAGGCGTATTATGGAACAATGTTTTGGCCCTTGCCTTAAAGGGATTAGGGAATCTTTCGCAAAATCTGTTCACCTTGAATGACGAAGGACACTCATTGTTAGCATTTTGACTTATCCAGTGTGTGTATTCAGTGTCCTTGTTTTGCCCATTGCTCAGAACTTCGTGTCAGTGCTAAGGGATGTCTCTCCAGCGCCTAAATGTTGAGCAGTTGGGTCGTGTTGTGGGTTTACTAGAAACGGGCCTATCACAAAGCAGAGTTGCTTATGCTTTAAATGTGTCGCAGAGTGTCGTGTCGAGAGCTTGGAACCGCTACCAAGAGACGGGTACTGTACAGTTCAGACATGGTGGAGGCAGACAAAGAAGAACTACCCCAGCCAATGCTTGATTTCGACAGCCAACCGAGACCGATCTACCACGGCAAGATCTTTGCAAGGACCGTTTTACAGAGCAACGGTGTTGCAAGTATCGACCCAAACTATTCGTAGAAGACTTCATGAAGGTGGTCTCAGGTCAAGAAGACCTGCCCGTCATCCACCGCTGACTGGGCGGCATCGTGCAGCTCGTTTAATGTGGGCTAGAGAACACTTGAATTGGGAACTTGATTGTTGGCAAAAATGCTTGTTTTGTGATGAGTCAAAATTTGTTCTTCGGCATGTCAGTGGACGCTATCGAGTCTGGAGAGACCAAGGTATGCGATATAATCCTGCTCTTATGGTCCCACGACACATGCATGGTGGAGGCTCAGTATCAGTCTGGGGTGGCGTTTGGTTTGATGGCCGCACAGAGCTAGTAGTGTTCATAAATGTGACTGTAAGAGCTCAGCGATATTTGAATGATATTATTCGTCCTATTGTGGCACCGTTTGCTGAAAGAGTAGGTCCACATTTTTTGCTGGTGGATGACAACGCACTTCCTCATTGAGATAGAAAATAAACAATTTCTCGGATGAAGCGGGTTTGCATAGGATGAACTGGCAAGCACTGTCTCCTGATCTCAACCCAATCGAGTATATCTGGGATTTGCTCCAAAGACGTCTCGACAACCGCCCCCACGATCCACAGTCCATAAACGACTTGACCAGAGCACTTCTTGAAGAATGGGATGCTATACCTCAGGAGGCCATCAAAAATGTAATTAGCAGCATGAGAAGACGATGTGATGCTGTGATTCGGGCAAGAAGGGGTCCGACAAGGTATTAAGATTGCAATATTTCTTGAAACTCTCCGTGCAACCAAGAAAATAATGCGGGCGGCTGATGTGCCTTAGTGACAGGAGTTGGAACAAGGTATTCTTTTTGTAACCGAAAAGGTCAAACTAAGTAATTTTTTGTGTTTGTATCTCTAAAGAATATTCTGTAATTAATATTTGCAAGAAACTCAATAAGTTTCCATAGCACGATAAACTCATGACCTACCCAAGTGATCCACTTCAATTGTTGAGCAGTGTATTTACCTCTCTGCAAAGGTCATATTGTGTCATTCTGTGTATGTAACAAATGAGTGTGAAACAAACATTTTGCAGCAGTTGAGGGTTTTCCCAGCTCATCAGCTTCCTAATTTTATTTCGCAATGCCTGTTTAATATATATGATTTCATCAATAAAGATGTCATATGGTAACGAATTTTTCATGTCTTTCAAATCAGTAGACAAAATCCTCGAGTCTACAGGTGACCTGAAAGTTCCCGGACACTTTAAAAAACAAATATTTCATTTAAAGCAGCAATAACAATTATTTTCACCAGAGAATATGATAGGAGAGACAATTTTTAACAAAGGCAATCAAACATTTTCAAAGTGTTTTGAGTTTTCCAAAGTTTTGAGGGCAGTTCAAATAAGGCCCTGTTGATTCAGCCGTGGAAGTTCTTCACTTGGACATATATAGAGGCAAATGCGTCGCAGCGTCTTTAGTCGTCGTTCTCACGGATTTTGGCAATAATCCAGGAAACAAACCTGAGAGGATGAGAATAACACATTATGAAACACATTTAATTAAGAATGACTTGTTCATGCAACTGTTCATGCAATTACGAGAGAAGCAGTTAATTTAATATTGAAAGTGGTCATCTCATTAATGATATGAAGCCTACCCGACAATTTGTTATTATGCGAAAATCAGTCGATGCCTCCATGGGTCGTCTGATTCTTCTCATCCGTGCCAAGGGCGGTTATATTTAATACTACTAAGTGATTCTAAGTCAGTTAAGTGTCCTAGTCATTGTGCATTTTACAGAATGCAAGAAACAGTTTCTGATTTCTTAAAAATTGTTTACGGGGGTTATAGGCATATTGCGATGCGACCCCACTTTCTTAACACCCTGTTTATTTATCGAAGAGTGAAATTAGTAGTATGCTGATATCTCCATATCGCAATCATTGTCCTCTAGCATGTTGCATTCATTATTTTTGCTCATAAGAAAGTAGGGAATGCTTTGCTTATCAAATAAGCTCTATTGTTCTCTATTAGTGATACTGCATTGAAGAGAGAAGCGCCAGGGAGAACCGATGCTAAAATACCATTTCAGAGCTTCGAGCAAAAGCAATCAATGCAAAGAAGTGGAGAAAACACCGACAGCGTCATTGAGAGAAGCCTGTTTTTTTCTTGATTTTTTTCCGAACTCATAAGCTTGAGGGATGTTTATAGGTTGCAACGTGCGAATTGGAAATAGGAAAGCGTGGAGAAGGGATTGACTCGATAAAAGGAGGAGAAATAAAAACAATGAAATCCTAATCTCACCTTGACACTTTCACAAAAACCATTGAATTGCTTCCAGGGTGGCAGTGACTCGTTATCCCCTCCACCTGCCAGCGACTTCTCGATCCGGGATTCAATACATAGCTCATGGGACTCCCCAACAGTCCCCATCCGCAAGCTATTTCACGCTCTAAAGTGAATCTTACTACTGAATATCGCGAGTAAAGCCAAGCACAACCCATGTAGCAGGTAAAGTTCAATTAACATTGGAATTTTTGAGTGAAGATCATCACAGTGTCAATTGAATTTTGCGTGCTACTTGTCAAAGTGGAAGAAGAGCAAACCACTGTCAGAATTCTTCGAGTTGTTAGTGGAACAGAACACCTTATCCGACGTGGCCCTTGTAATTGGATGTGCGGTATCCTGATGACACTTCGACACCACCATCTCCTCAGTCGTGCCATTCAAGCGCCAATTCACCACCTGCCACCAAAGCAATTTGAAATCGCAGCAGGGGCTGGAAACTGTCTGGAATCCATATGAACCTGTTACTCACCCATCCTCGAGTTCCCTCCTTGAGGTTAACCCAAGGTTCGCTTGGAAGACAAACTAACTGAACCCGTTGAGACAATTCCGCTCTCTTCCTCAACTTTAACAATGCGACGTTTGAGTCATAGTTCTCCGCATTGAAGTCATCATGCAGGATTATCTTGGACACCTATAATAAACAAAGAAATCTACATGCATATTCTGTGAGTATAAGAATGTGTGACTTATCGTTTTTGTTTGTACTTTCATTGGCTCCATGGACTGGTCGTCCCTGGATTCATTCGAATGAAGTTTCTCGAGACGGACGAAGAGTATCCTGGGGTCCTGAAACTTATTTAAGCATCCAGCTGAAGTGAGGACCCACTTCTCCCGAATGAGAGCTCCTCCACAAATGATCGACTGTTCGTTCACGCTATAGATGGCTACTTGCCATGGCCACTCATCGAAGTTGAATGGCGTTTGATCCATGGACGTGTTGGCCGCGCCCGAAGAATGCACATTCCTCTTGCTACCGCATTTTGGAGGATTCTCTTTTGGGATCTTAGGCTTGCAACACGATTCCTCGGGACGACAATCGTGAGGTCTTGAGGGTGTTGTTGTTCCGGGTGAGCATAAAGAAGCTTGCTTAGGATCGACGCACTCATGCTCACAAAGGCGACACCTTTTAAATAATGTTACATCGAAATCGGTAAAAGCAGTCCCATCTAAGCAGTATGCATCCTTCACGCTTTTTAGGAGGTCTGGACTGGAGATGAGCCAGGCGACACTGCAATCGCAGCGGGTTGGATTTCCTGATATATGAGATATGTATAATTTAAAGGATCTAAGAAGACAAGGAGGAAAAAAGGAAGAAAACAGCTAAATTAGGAAACTCACCAAATAAACTTATATACCCATTTCCCTTCGAGAGTTCTTTCAGCATCGGGCGAAATGACTTTTCCTCTAAACTGTCGATCTGGTTGCTCCATAGCTCAACTGACGTGTTCATGGTTAGACCTAAAGCAAAAAAAAAACACATGATGCTCAGCATTCTCGGATAAAGGTAGCGAGAGCGGCGACAAAACTGGTCATCGTTCATCGCCTAGAATTTCTGCTGTTACGGTGCTTTGAAGCACATCTTACTTATTTGCAAACCATATTGATCTTAGTGTTCTTTGAGCCAGGAATGATAGCATCCTCCAAATATAGGGAAGCATATAATTCGTTTAAATTGTACTTAATAGTATTTGTGGAAACTCCTGAGCTTTTAGTGCATAACCTATGAAAAAATCGTGACCTAAAATTTGTCATTTTACCACGGAAATCCCCTGCTTTGGAATTTCATCTCTTCCACTGTGATTAAAATGCAGACAAAACGACCTGTCTACTTCATCCTCGAATGACAGTGACCTGCACTTTTCAGGCCGAATTTCATTTACGGCATAGGAATTGGGCTCAACCAAAATTAGACTTATTTCATTCAACCACTTGGGCTGCATGAAAGTCCATTGAGAAATAACCATCACAACATTCTCCTCATTACCGAAGCCTGTTCACCTCATAAATTATGAGGTGGACGGCTCAGTTGAACTATCCACCATGTTATTTTATAATCAGACTTCATAACCAACCAGGTTCTTCGCTGGTTTTTGACATATTGCATTTTACTCGCATCGGGCACACTTTGACAAAAAATCACATTTGACATCACTTTATATTTAGGTACTTGAAACGTTTGGATGGTTTCCTAAATAAGATACCAGAAAAGTAATTGTTTGTTATGTTTCAGAAACTCAGACGAACTCATCCTCAATATATGCCGTTTCCAAATCTATGGCACATTTTCGAAGATATATATTGCATATTACAGCAATGAAACTCTTTAAATTTGAAATACTGGATCGCACCTGTNTATATGCCGTTTCCAAATCTATGGCACATTTTCGAAGATATATATTGCATATTACAGCAATGAAACTCTTTAAATTTGAAATACTGGATCGCACCTGTGATGGCTCTTGGTTCAAGTCTTGAAATGGTGTTGAAGAAAAGTCCCACTTCTCTTAGGACAGGACTGTGAAACTGGAATGTCCTGGACGTTAAAATCGGTCCTAATTTGCACGATGGACACCAAAACACCTCTAGGTTCTCCAAGTCCTCAAAGAAGTCAGAGGGGAGCTTGGATATGGGATTTCCACCTAAAAATTATTGTAGAAAAATCAGATTAGATCTATTGTAGTATTCGTTTCCTCCACATAATCTAAATATTTTCACAGCCCAGTTGTTTGTTTCCAGGAGGAGGTAAGCTCATTATGCTTATCGTGAACCTATGAAAGATACATTGACGCAAGACTGCACTCTAGTCGTTGTTGAGTTAATTGTCAATAAATTGTTTTCTGGAAAATGTCTAAATTTCACCTTTACAACCTGATATATATTGATATATACGGTATATGTCGTATGCAAGTTGACCTTTCCGTGCAACTTGAACCCGTCGGAGTTTCCCTATGCATGTTAACTTGCATGGATTCTTTCTTATTGTTTAAGATTGCTAGAGAAATGCCCTTTCTCGTACAAGGAGTGCACAGGAACATAATGGAGTTGAAGGCTACTGTACTCACCGATATTCAGACTCTTCAAGTTTGGAATGGTCAATTTTCCTTGAAATGTCACTATTTGATTGTCATACAGGTAGAGTTCCTGGAGACTTTCGCTTTCTAGGGCTGGCACTGTTTCCAAGGCATTCCCATGGAGATCCAAGATCTTCAGCTGAGTCAATTCAGGAAGGATGGCGAACGGAAAATCCTCCAACCGACTGTTCCAAATGTTCAGTGACTGAAGTCTGCTTCTCGATGACTTGAAGGTCGTCGCGTTGATGGTTCTCATTTTTGTTTGATATGCATGTATTCTTTGGAAGGTGATGTTCCCAAAAACTCCGTCTGGTAGGGTCAGCACCTTATCGTTTTCACTGAGTCGGAACTTCCTAAAGGGATTATTTTTAAAGGAAAAACAAGGATTATATATTGGTACCATTCTCTTTCGCTGAGTTGGAAGCCTGATAAAAATCGAAAATGAATTTTAACAATTATTGCTATGATATCAAGCAAATGTCAGAATCTGAACTCTGCATCCCATTAGGTACTTGTGTATCAGGTTTCCATCACATTTAAAACATGGTTAGAATTAGCGTCAGTCAGTCACGATCGTGTATATACGAGATATTAGGTTTATATTTAGATTTAAAAAATATAGCTGTAGTGCAGATGCATTTACAATGTGGCAAATGCGTCCAAGTAAGCACCAACGTCAAAATGAGATAATATCATGAACATTTTGAATAGTGCTTAATGATTATTACTTCTTATCCCAGGCTTTTCTCTATCTCTTCGCAAGTTAGTTTTAAAAAGTAATGAATACATGTCGAGAAACATGCGCAGAAACGACATATAAACGTAATAGTAAAACGGAAAAAAGGTGAATGTTTTATTCAGTCATCGCTTTTGTATTTATTTAAATGTAAGAGAAGTATTATGTACTGTAGTAAACAGTTATTTAAAAACTGCTTTTTAATGTGATCATGCTGGATTGAATAAGAAAATGTTGCAGCTAAAATATCAGATATATCAGTTCCCGACGACCTCGAGTACACATTTCTAACCGCAAAATCCAAGTCGGTGCAGCAACCAACTTACCAAAAAGGTAAACACTTGATATGGTATGCGTGCATGCCAGAAAAAAAATAATCTGAACGATGCTAGGATTTCGTTTTGATGGATAAATTTTGAATTGACTTTATTGTTACAGACAAAGATTATTCTGGGGTTGATGGAGTTTTCACTTACGTGAGTTGGATGGAGGGCCAGTATGCATTGCTGAATGCGTCGAGGATACTTTGACTAGTTATTGCACCCGAGCAATCCACATTCACTTCTTGCGACTCCTCGGAGTACGAGCAAGTGCAGGGGGAAATATCCTGGGGTTTTGGACATGGAGCATGTGAGGTCACCAAGGTTCCCCAAGAGAAGAGGATGAGGTGGCACAAGGTTAATGATATGAGCATCACCAAGCACGGACGTATTGCCAGAAGCTCAAACAATACCAGGGGTGAACCCAATTTGTGCTCGGTACCTGAATAATGGCCCACGTGATACTTTACATTGATAAGATATCCATAGTAATGGTAGTAAAAGGGGTTATATTATGTTATTAGGTTACGAAATTGGAGTGCAATGTTTTGGTTTGGTTTTCTTATTTGGTTTGTTTCCGATACTTACAAGGGAAATTTCTCCAGCACGTTCAGGAATTTGTTTGTCTCCAGTTTTTTGGAAGTTTCAGCGGGCGCAACGCATATCAGGCATGTCAATCATGGTAACGCATGCGTCTCAATGAACCCAGATCGTTGAAACGCTAAAAAAATGATAATGAAGTCGCCTAAAAATGGATTCATCGAAATGCCCGGAAATGGCACGATGTCAATGTCACCATTGTGAAGATGAAACGTTCTACCTTCTTCATTTCCGTCGCTTAAATGAATTCTAACCTAGAGGAAAAGCTCTTGGATCAATCGTTTTGAATTATTATGATGCAACACGGGCCTGCTGTATCCTGAATGTAATCATGTTTCTATCGTTGCCGTACTGCCAACTCTAGATCTGGTTCCTCTGAACGAATTCTTTCCTCTATCCATTCACCATTTCCTTGTAGCACTCGAATGCTAATATAGCAAATTTAATTGCAAATGGATGAAAGTATACGACCTCTTTCTGAAGTTATGAAAAAGCTCAAGTCAGCGCACCTTCGAAACCCCCTCGATATTTGCAATCATACTCCTTTTCAGAAGGGAAGTTATTCGAAACAATTGAGGGTCGACGATATGCCACGCACTTCATTCAATCCATCCGCACGGAGGAGCTCGAAACTGACTAACCTCTTCTTAACGATTAACGATTAACGATTCTCCTTCCTCTCGTCCTATCTGAGGCTTCCCGGTAAGGAAGTCGATGAGTTTGTGCAAGGGTGAGGATTCGAACCACATGAATTGTTACTACGTACATTTAACACCTCGAGACTCAGGCGAATGGTAGTCCCTGTGACGTTTTAAAAACGAACGTTTTTAAGATGTGTCAATTAATTAATGCAACGGAGGAAGATGACTATAACTGTCTTTGAACGAGAATGAATTAAAGTTCATTCAGCCACACTTTCATACTTCTACCACATATTGATGACAATACAAGTTGTGCAATATTGCCCTATTATTAGCAAAACAGAAAAGTCTAGAAACTAGCATGCTAGTTGATTAAGGTAGAATTTTACTCATATAATGGCCGAACACACCTCCCTAGGTATCTTCTTTCGCTTCCAATTCTGAGTTTTTGTGAAAAAGGATCCAAGACGAAGTACTTTACATTTGTCAAATATGAATATTGTATACATTGAATATGTTGTAGGTATCGACGCACCGGTCTTGACAGCGTTCAACATTTGTCCATTCTCTAAACTAAGATGAAAATCCTATGATGTGACATATTGTGGTTGCCAAAGAAACTACAATCATGACAGACACAGTTAGATGAGGACACAATCTGATTTTAGCAGGAATGTTTTAGCTGGCGTACCTAGTTCCACCCCAAGTAAGTTCACATGGTGCGCCAGTGTATGTGCCACGACGTGTATATTAGGTATGAAGGCATTTTGTTGCAAAATCCTGTGCTGATGAATTTCTCAAATAATAAGGCATTTGCACGGAAACAAAAAAAAATATTTTCGTGACACAGTCTTCATAGAATCCAATAGCCAAGCATTCGAGTTCTGAGATGTGCTTTGAAAGAAAAGGAAGGAAGGAGTTGAACGATTCTAAATAACGTAGAAAATATAATTTGTGCAAATTCTCGGGAAAATAGAAGTAAAATATCGAGAATCCAAAGGATGACAGGCATGTAAGGTATTTTCCTACTCTTCCCTGGAAATCTGTTGGACTCCTACTTTTGCTCAAATGGGGAGATTTAGTCATTCAATCTGACCAGAGTTATTTCGCAGTAAATGCAAAATGTTCCAAACCGATCTTTCCATCATGTTTTGACAAAGGTTGAGCCGCACATGTTTATATCGTTAACCTGCATCGTAAGTATTTAAATCTTCCGCATAAGCGCTGGCAGTCAGATTTTTTTCTCCAAAGCTCTAAACATTCGCTGTCTCAGTAGTGTAACCTAACCATGCCTAAAATAAGCAGTTGATAGAGAAGTAAATATTGACGAAGTATCAGAATATTTTCTCAAAAATGTTACGGTATAGCATATGTTCCTGTAGGTCATGGAAAAAGACATTCAATGGCAAAAAAATAGCCGATTAAGGTTAATATGGTGAACGTTTTTCCATCTTGTTGTTCACTTTTGTTCGGTATACTTGGTCTTTCACATAACCCCATAGGAAGAAATCCAAGTATACCGTACAAAAGTGAACATTGAGGAGTTGATGAAGAGAATTCGCGATGCAATATGGAATTTTGACTAGACATGTTACAGTGAACATGGCAAGAAATTGGTTATTGCCTTGATATTCTCGAGGCAACACACGGAGCATGAATTTCTATATTCTAATATTGTAAAAGAAAACTTTGTAAAATGCATTTCATGATGCAATAAACAGATTTGTTCTAACTCTTACGGTTAATTTTAAATTTACTTGCAAACTTGTACGGGGACTTTTGGTACACCCTGTATATTCTCTCCCCTGCAAAGGGTATGCCTTATTCTTTAATTGTGTGACTTAGGGATGGACAGTGCCAGAGTAGCGTAGAGAGCGTAGGGACTTCTTTTACATGAGCGCTTTCTTAGCGGAAGTGGTCTAATCGAATGTTGTATATGGTGGCGATATTGTATCTCTAACACACTCCCTTCCTTCATGCTAGTCACGTCCGGCGGAAAAACCCAAGCCACATCATAGGGAACTATGCGGTGGTCAATTCCGGGAGAAACTATTCATATTTCCTTTGAAGCTATCGCATTTTGAAGCGTGGCACAGGTCATTCAGGTCAGCTTTTCTCAGGTTCCGAGATACCAATTTTACTTGTCACGTAAATGTCAGTAATAACCTTTTGCTAGGTCTTTTTAAAGAGCGATCACTTGAACCCCACACCAACCATTTAAGTCATTACCATGTTGCATTTTTATACCTATCACCTTAATGCAAACAGTGCAGTGCACGTCATTCTACGGATCCCATGCTAGTCTGTAAGCCGTGGGATCCTTCAATAATATCATCCTTCAATTCTCTGCAGGAGGGGATCAGTCATGAGTGAATGGTGGGTTCAATTAATCGTCTCGATACATACATCAACCTTGTGGTTAGTGGCATGGGTGGGCAAGGAAACTCAACAATCTATCATCAGACCTCCCCACAAACGTTGAAAATTAGGAGTATATTTTTAAAAAGTGGATTCTTCTTAGATATGAACTACGTTCGTTATTTTATGGTTCATTGCCTTTGGGGTTAGGATTAGCCTAACGTCGAAAATTCCGTCCAGCTTCAAGTGCCACCCTGGGAGTTGGGTGTTGGCATGCAAAAAGAAACACCGCGATGATGGCAACAAGAAAAAAAATGTATTGAAAGTATAAAGCAGCACCATAAATGTCACGGACACGGGGCGCTCCGGCAGGTTGTTACTTACAGAAAATATGTAGTTACTCAATTTCCCTTCCTAGCGTCCCGCGGCTGACAATTATCATTTTAGAATCTCTTCCTTCAATCAAGAGGAAAGGTTCGTGCCTGTTCACGGCCGAGAAAGGAGTATCCCACAACCGAGTCTGATACCTAAATTTATTATGGAAGTTTTTAAATGTTACCAAGTTATCCAGCAAAAGTACTCAACATATAAAGAAACAAAATGTTTGGTTAGTTCACGAGCTTCACAGACAACAAATAATGATCTGTCCGGTTCCCTAGGCAAACGCACGTAAGAGAGAGAGAAAGAGCAAGTTGGCAAATTAACGGGAAGACCTACTCTTAAGGTCGAAATGAGGCACTAACACTCTGGTCGGACTGAGAGGGAAAACTCCACGATCAAGGACAGGGCCGAGTCCCCTCGATCAACTCGGGACTGAACTTCTCGGACGAAGTTCTTGCTTTTCCTTCAGGATCCAGAGGAGGTTCCTGGAGAAGGGATTCCTTGGTGGTAGCTCGCGCCCATTGGATGTCCAATTCCTAGGAACAGTTCTCATTGGGGAACACATTCCAGGACAACATCATCCACATTAATTTCTGGGTCCGTATACCGAACATGTACCTGTCCAACCAATGGTTTTGGATATGAGGTCGTCTCATAAACCCTTGATTGCGACATGGGTTTTCTGGACAGGGATGTCCGAAAGATATTGTGATCCGGATCTTGACAAGATTCCAGCTCTGGAATAGTGCAGATGGTGATCCAGTTCCGGCATCCCTGGGATAATGCCCCCTCATACATCTTCCCCATTTCTCCTCGGCTTATCACATGGGCTTCTGTCCGTCTCCTTAATCAGCATGCCTCATTTCCCTTTCCATGGTCGACATTACTGGAAGGGCGGCGGCCCGTTACACAAATACTGAAAAGAAAAGTATATACGCCGATCCAAGTATTAGGTGCATATTAGATCTGTACTTCCTATCGGAAGATAATCTTTGAATCAAATCCGCCGGAAATGGTAAATAAATTGTAGATAAACCGCCACGTAGAAATAAAAATTATGCCAAACTTAGGATGCTGACTCGAGTGAGAAAAACCTTTAAAGTGTGCTCTTTTCAATGGTGTATGACTCATCATCCGAGCTTTTAAAGTTTTGGAAATCATGCATTTTTGTCTGAAGTGAATTCTTACTTTTGACATGCATGTCCTCAGGACATCTCCAATTTCTTGTTTTTTTTTTCAATTTCGGAAAAAATAATAATATTGAGATCCTGTCATCATTCAGGTCCCATTGTTGAGGGGGAAGAATGGACTATCTTCTAGAATTTGGCTCGGGGAAAGTATGTTAATACAGTCTTGCTATAGAAGGCACCGCATTTAGAATGAACTCTAAGGACCTGGTGCTTGGTTGCCACGATGTTTTCTGGTGAAACTTTTCTCCATGGAAGACTTGAAGTGAAGTCTTTGACAGGCAAGGTTTGTCATGGCAAGCTGGGCAATGAAGCTCATCTGCCTCTAGATCAATATCACATTCAAGCTATTCTTAGTAATTCTGAATTTCATTTACAGAGGGTGTTTCAATAAATGACTAGATTAGAGCACTTACATACATGAAGGAGTAGGTTGGGCAAGTTTTAATGTACTGAACAAGAGGGGATCATTATCTAGTTCATTCTGTTGCCGGCAGATCTTGCCACTTTCCGGTAGTGACATCCTAGAACAGTGTAATGATGCCCTGCATACTACACAAGTGGACGTATGTTGAGCTGCGCTGCCAGCGCTTATGCGAGAGATTTAAATACTTACTATGAAGGTTAACGATATAAACATGTGCGGGCTCAACCTTTGTCAAAACATGATGGAAAGATCGGTTTGGAACATTTTGCATTTACTGCGAAATAACTCTGGTCAGATTGAATGACTAAATCTCCCCATTTGAGCAAAAGTAGGAGTTCAACAGATTTCCAGGGAAGAGTAGGAAAATAGCTTGCATGCCTGTCATCCGTTTGATTCTCGATATTTTCCTTCGCTGCCGCGAGAGTTACAAATGTTTCCCACATCTTGGGACGGTCCCGCACGTGGGAATGAATAACGTGATTGGTTGGATCCCGGGTTGAAGGTCTCTAGGCATATAGCCTGGGGCAAGTTGCCTCAATCCCCCTCCTCCCTCCCATGTGTCTGCTATGGAAAATTTTGCGCGTGCGGCTTCCGAAAGACGGCGGTCGCACCTGGATGGGTGCAGCGATTCTCTCCATAGGAGAGGCCCCTCCTTTTATACATTCTCTATGGAAGCATCATTTAAATGTGAGATGCTGATGGTCACTAAAATCTCTTTATGTGCAGTCACCATGGAAATTGAACCATCTATCGTTCCCTCAATCGTTAGAGCCAGAGTTCTCTATCTTGGACTGAGTTATCTCTAATTACGGATTTATTCAAGAATTCGAGTATCTCCCGCTCTGGTTTATATGACGAAAGGTAGGCTACATGTGGATAGTATTAGTGGCTAATTCCAGCTGTCTTAGGAATCGATCCGCTACAGCGACTACCTTGGCGCCATCTAGCGTCGGTTTTGGGAATCTTTGCTTCAAGCCAATTTCAGATGGATAAAATAGATATGCTTCAGGAAAACATCTGAAACGTTCGACGAATGCCTTTCAAATGCAGCAAGTTTCGAGACTATGAGACACCTAAATTGAGCGCCAAAAAGATTCTCACTCTGATACGCTGGATGTCCTAAGACCCATTTGAAAATATGTTCAGCGTCCTCGAATACGTTTATATGCTACTTGGGCAATGTCATATGCATAAAGCCTGCAGTTCTCACTTCACACGAGATAATCTTCACTCAACCAGATAATCAACACTCGACCAGTGAATGGAACGAAGGAGGCGAAGAAAAACAAAGCAAGATGCAACACACAGCACAGCGGTGATCCGCAAATCACCGTATTGTTGTTGCAAGATCCTATCTCCCAAGCGGTACACTCGTATTTTTTTCCATCTACCAATGCGACTGCGATACGGGAAAAAAATCCAACCCTTTGAAAAGCTCTCAATCTCGGAGACCTCTTTGGGTTGTTCGTCAAATTCTGCTAATATCATTTAGAGCCATGGAAAGAAACGAGGCAATTGGTTTGATGGGTTTCTTGGCGAAAACCCGTGTGAACGCATGTGATGACGAGCTGAGAAATCACCTGGTATTTCATCGTGGATCCTTGAAATTTATGGATTCACGGCAGCAGGCGAGAGGCGCTGGTGTATGCGATGCCAGCAATCCCTTTCGAGAACTACGGCAACTCTCGTTCCAAGTTCATCCGAAAGATGGCGAGACGAGAGCTAATCTATGGTTTTTAATTTAAAAAAACTGCCTCCCTTCCCTATCTTATGGCCGATTTACAAATTTCATTTCTCAAAGGCACATCCTCGGATAGTAAGGAAGAGTCCTGTCGAAACCCCAGGTTCATATCTCTAAGCGTTTGGCCTGTAGAGCTGTCACACAAACACACACACACACACGCACGCACACACAAACAAAAGACAATTCTCACTCAGCCTAGCTGGCGGCCAGAATCGTGCAAGCTATATGCAACCGAGGTCCTCCAGTTTGAATTATAGTTCAAGGTACTCAGCATGTTTCACATGTCCCTCAAAAACCTTCAGTATTTTTCTTCATAGATGTGGGCATATTCCCCCTTACAATGGAGGTAACATGGCCTATTGGACAAACTTGGAAATTATCCGAAGGTTCAATATCCATGGGATTTTTTGCATGTGCCCTGCTGGGATTTAGTAAAGGATATCAAGTAATATTTCAGAAGCATTGCAAAAGTCAAATTCGACCTTGATGGGCCGTTATGACCAGGTTTCATATTTTTAGGGCCATATTCCCCCAAAATTACCTTAGTCAATATTCCAATGACACCAGGAAAAAATGATATAAAACACAATGATCCACAAATGTCTGTGCATAAAGGAAGGCGGTGGGCATCTGTGTGCTACAGTTTGCAAGGTTTATATGAGCAAAAAGCAGACATGGAATATTATGTGTAAAACTCCTGATATTGTAGTTTACTATGCTATACTGAATAAATATGTTTCCAGTTGTAATGCCCGTTTAACATTACTTTGAATTGTGTCAGGTCACAATTGAATTGGCCACCCCATGCTAATAAATTGGCGGATATGACCTTCCCCGTCATTTTCTTCCGTGAGGTCCCGAGGATTCCTCACGGGAGTGGCTTGGAAGGAGGGACGCTTGCACCTAAGTCGAACCATTTTTTTTTATTTTCTCTCGCTAGCAAGATTTGTTGTGGCTTCCAATATCGTTGGCCTGTGAATAAATCTGACCTAAGTAGATAGGCGCCGCCTTCCTCAAGCCCAATCGGAGATGTGGAAATGTCATATTGTCAAATGTCAAATGTCATATGTCCCCTTATTCTCCTTATAAAGGGGAAATTTCCTGAATTCCTACAATAGGT